GAATGCCTCCAGAAAGGAAGGCTAAGCAACTGTTCCTTGCAAATCCGACCGGCAGAAGGCCCAGGGGATGACCAAGATTAACCTGGTGGAAAAATGTGAAAGAAGTCTGTTCCAGACTCCATTTGTCTTTTGCCGAAGCTCAGACTCTGGCACAGAATTGGGAAAGTTGGAAGCTGTCTGACGTGTCTGCCTCAGCGACCCGAAAGGAGAAGCGGCGATGGAAGAAGAAGGTTGATTTCCTTAGTGGCTACTGTAGCAAGTCGGGTGAATATTTCGGCGTACTTCACTTTCACTCGTGAATGCAATCTGAAATTTTTGGGGCTGTCCACTATTTTGCAAGGCGAAAATGGCTCAACAGACAGCGTACTTCCAAGACGCTCTTCATAAACCTAACCCGGTATCCAGGTTACATACAGCGAGTGCGGACCAAAATATATAATCACATGTATGTTAGGACGAAGTAGCTCAAAAGAATTTCCAGAGTAATCGGGACCAGCCATAAATCCTGAAAAATTTCCTAGTGAAGAACTGGTAATCAGGGCATGACAAGCGACTTTCTTCTTTCAAAGCATATCTGTCCAGAAGGACAATGGGAAAGTAAACCAGATCGAAGTCTTGGATCCGCCATTCGCATTAATTTGTGAAGAAAACGTGAAGAAATCATGAGTCATCAGCCTCTGAACCGATGACAATGACTCACATTTTCGTAAGATATGTATTATGCGTTCAGAAAATAGCGGATAACCATTTCATTACTTTGTTGAAGGCTGGCACCATGCGAAAAAAAGTACTCAGAATTTAAGGTTGGAAATTTTCGTCCCAACGATATGATTATACACAGATTTCAAATGTCAAGTAACTTTGTCAGTAAACTCATTACCCCATAGTCCAATCGCTTAAGTTGGCTTAATTTCACCACTCTACAGGAAATTACCACATTGCCTCAGATGTGGCATATCAGTATTTTAAATATTTCCTACGCATCTAAGAATAAGGAGCTGCAGAGAAATGCTATGTGGACCAATGAGATGAAACTTAATAAGCACGTTTAGAAGGCTGGAACCTATGTCATGATGCTATTGCAAACGCTTTAAACCTGCTGGCTGCTAAAAATGTAAAGTTTGAAAAACAGTGATATACTGCCGTAACAAAGTAATACCTATCAGGATTTCTAGGGCCAAAACAGCTGGTTGTAGTAATAACACAGAGGATGTTCTCCGGGCCATAATCAGCTATAAGTTGTTTCATCTTGGCGACATCCGTCACAAGAACACCGTTCTCAAGTCTTTGCTCCACTGGTAGAAGTTGCAGTCCTTCAATTAAATAAAAATAAAATTTATGCAAAGCCGTCTAATTAACAAACGGGGCTACGCTAAAAGCTAGTGAATAAAGTAAAGGAGACAGAAAAAAATCAGGTGATACAAGAAAACGAGTTCAAAGTAACAGCATCATCTATTGCTTACACAGTGAGTATAGTCTAGAACATTGCATGAATTACGCTAAGCCACACAAACGTGCCATAAATACCAGTGATAAAAGAATTAAAAAATAATTTTCATAGATGCGCAATGATTCAAATATCTCAAATTTAAAACGGTTCATTCAGACAGTTCAGCAATCCAGTTCGTCTAAACATATCAGATTCGACATCCAACACTCAGCTTTGACTTAATGCTCAGCATTAACCTGCGCTTCCAGGTGTCTGTGCATGTCAACGAACAAACGCATAAAATATTGCCCGAAAATGTTATGGCATACCTTCGTCTGTCGTTCTGAAAAGTTTCGTTTCGTCAGAATTTCGGTAAATTTTGTGGCTATCACGTCATGATAGTTGTACATGAACTTTACTCAAAGGTTGACAAAGTGTTTGGCATAGTGTCTGTCGAATAGAGTTCAACTGGTAGAGAGAAGAAAAAAGACTAGCTCAACCGAACTAAAACTTGTCCATAGTGTGCATCAAGATTCAAATGCATCTTCTGCACTATTTTTACACGAAATCAAGTGCAATGCCTACATGAAATAAGCATTTAGCTATGTCAGAAAGACGTGAAGCTAAATAGCTGACTACAAATGGCGTTTTGCAGATTCACTAAAACGATACACCGGCGAAAAATACTGTTCAATCGAGGGGTGAGAAACATTAAAAGTGCATGCATGGGCAAAACGTCACAATACAAATTATTTTGCTCAGAATGATTGTACAAACAAGTTATATACCTAAATGTTTCGTTTGTCTTTTCTAAGGATGGACTACTGAAATCCAAGACTTCCTTCTTAGTACAAACAAGTAAATTCACTGGAAGTGAAGCTTAACTGTGTAACCAGTATGCTTGCTTTGATTACCAAGAAAAGAATCATCTTTGCTGCCGTCTGCACCAGTACATTACAGCAGTTTGATATATGCACATATGCTATAAAACAAACAACAATCACCTGCAGCTAAAATACACTTTATACATGTCTTCTGATCGATACGGGACCAAATCACAGTCTGAGCATTTGGGCGCTTCTTTCTGAAATGCAGCAAGCACAACATCATGGCCATTCCAGTGGCGCATGGGATGACGAAGCAACTTTTGCAATCCTTGACGCCTAGATACATAAGCAAGCGCGTCAAGCCATTTCTCACCGAAAAAGGGGTGAAACCAACTAATGTTCACCTGATAATTGAATAGCATGGAGAGCTAACGAATTAGTCAGTCTGTTGATCAGCGACGAACCTGTAGCTTTTGGCTGCAATGAAGTAATAGCGCCAGATCGTCCAATCCCATGACACAAGCTGAAATGCAAATTCTAAAAAACTATGTAATCATTTACAGTAAAAAGATGTTACATAATATTTTAAGCTTTAACAAACTACAGTAAACATGGAAAACTGAACATAAATAACATTAATTATGCCGAAGGAGAGTTAAACACCTGCAGTCATTTCGCAATCATCTGCTTTATTTTTATGCCTAAGCAAACCTTGCATTAATGCCAAAGAAATTCATACCCAGCCCAATCAGACACCAGTTACGCTAGAAAAGTGGCTATTATTGTCGAATTACGAACAACATCAGATCAACAGTTCGATACGCAAGAGCGGTAAATTCTAGCTATGCCGTTCCGTGTTCATTACTTCTATAATATTACCTACAGATGCGTTTTAAATCTGTATCGTACACTGAGAAAAAGAATCATCTCCTACGCTGCAGGACAAAGGTCATGATATAAGATAAATGCCATCTTTGGTTCAGAGGGATGGCTGTGTCCAGATACAAGTCGGTGTGTTGTATGTTTGTTGAGATCATGACCTTGAGCTTTCCACATCAGCGGAACGTATATGGTCTGCGTCGTCCGCTGTATTCGCAGCCTTTCAACAATTTTGTTATAAGGCACAAATCACAGCATCATGTAACGAAATGTTCCTCTGAAAGCAGATCTACCTTTACCTTATTTACTCATGTTGCATGCTGGCCTTCTAGTCGACTTTTGGATATCAAAAGAGATGCTCACAAACTGGAGTAAATGGTTTATGCCCAATCCGGTTGTCTAACATGGCCTTGCTCCATCCCACACCTATTGAGGTCACTTGTCTCCGGAACAGAGCAGAGTCATTCCTTACGCAGGCCGCCGGTCGCTTAACACTCGTTATGCGTCGAAACATTACTATACGCAATTCAGCAGTCGTTCTCGTTAAAACAACTGCCTCCACGTCAAACAACATTATTGATCTGATAGAAGAAAGGTCAAGGGGTATTTTCGTGAAAAAATAACTCCTTTCGCATCCAAAATATTGGACAGGTTTCCAAAAGCATTTGAGACAACAGCTGATCTTCATATTTAACTCTAATTCGATGGTGCCACTGCTGGAGACGATGAAGCCGAGATATTTAAATCAGTGAACCACCCAAAACGCTTCACCTCCTGCTTCGCTTGCAGGTCAGATGTGGCGAATGGGTTCCTGATAACTTTTGAATTCCGAGCGTAAACGAGGGCCGGCTTTCGTAAATGTGCTGCATACGGAAGCCATCATATGGCGGAACCCGCTTCCAGCACTACTGACTAGAAAAATATCAACTACGTACTTCAGGTCTGTAGAATATCTAGCCGAATATCTTGAACTGCGTCTTCCCTCTAGCACGAGAATTTCATCTTTGTCACGGTCTCCTATGTTTCAGAAAAGAAAATTAAAAACAATGCTGAATATAAAAAGTACATCTCCCTGAAAAACTCTACAGTTATTAAGGAATTGCTTAAATGGCTCTCCCCTAACTTTGACAGTAGATATAACTCCTGGATATATCTCTTCTAAAACAGAGGGAAGTCTGGAGGAGGGCATTATTTTGCCGATGATTCCATGTGTCCATGGTCCAGACGAAACGAAGGATATTACCTTATACTCAGTTTTCTTATATCATGAATCAAAAATTTTTCTAGCTCTTCGCATGTGTTGTTCATGGTAAGAGATAGATGGCATGGTAAAAAGTTTATCGAACTCTAATACAATTTTTCAGCCAGCGTTAACCCTCTGCCACGAGATTTCTCGTGACGCATGTAACAGCTGCTGTCTGCTACTAAATTTCAACGCCAGAGTATTTGCACGATATACTTTTACTATAGATCTGTTATCCTAGGATAATTTCAAAAATATTGGCAAACGAATGTACGATATGTTTAGACTGCAACAACTATTTCGTGATCTTGCTTTTGTTCGTTTCACTAGTTTAATTACTAATTATCTGTTTTGTCTCTATTCTTGTTTTATTTGTTGTTCCTTTTTAACGTTAAACATAGATTCTGTCATTTGTGTTGTAATAACTATGCCCTTTTCACATTCGGAGAAGGTAAAATGGGAACATCTTCATTGAAAGACAAGTGCTCACCCCATATGACTCACAAAACATTCATAACTTGCATGGTAGATGATAACCTGAAACAGCCAAAGAAACTGTGCTGAGAATCACAATAAGCAGTCAGCAAGAAGACGTACAAATCGATGGCAGGAAGAACTGAAAAAATCTGCTGGATGAGACAGATTAAAACAACAGAAAACAGAAGTATATCGCAAAGTCTTCGAGCGGCCTTCATGATCTTGAAGTGACGCTTTCAGAATCCACAACCGTGTTCCTCCTTCTTCGCCACAAATTACCAATTTCATTATCAATTCGTGACTGGAAGGAATACTGACGTAAATTCCAAAGGCTTCACGTAAAAAATATACTTTTTTTCAAAGCTTCAAACCGTCAGTTTCATTACCTATCTTTCTTAAAGCCTGTTTGTTTTGTTTGAAGGGAATTAATAAATTTTGGTAAATAATTTGCATGAGGATCGAGATATGACTAAGAGAAACTGCATGAAAGTATGTCTTCTTAAAAGATCACGCCATGTATAATTGCTAATTACATGCATACCACATGTGCTGCTTTTCTAATTATACGGAAAAGAATAAGAAAATAACTTAGGCTTATACATGACTTAAAAGCTGATCGGAGAGGAAAAACCAAAGCCATATTCGCTTATAAATTTAATTCGTTTGACAATAAAGGCGTTTCACCAAAAATTAAAGACTTATTCATGTCTGACGGCAAAAAACTGCAGCAACATATAAAATTTATGACTCTTTGATGAGGTCGATCCCATCAAACTCAACAGACAGATCGTCGTGAGGTTTTAGACCGATCTCACTGGCGTGTTAAGAACAATAAACATAGCATCTGGGAGACTGGACACAATAATAAAAAAATAGATGTTGACGCATTTGTAAAACTTACCCAAAGTTTCGCCTTCTCACAATACCAGAGTAGCATCTGCCTTCCCGTTCCCCGACCCCAAACGCGCGTTGGAAGTTATTGCAATCCATCATAGACAGGTTATGGAGAAATAACTCGATGAGCGCATCGTCCCAGCCATGGTCCGGAAGTTTACGCTGATAAAAACACTAATCAGTGACTAGAAAACGGAAGCATTGAGTCGCGTACGTGTCTTAGGAGAACGTTGATCTCCTTTTCTCTCGTCTTCATCGCATTTTCACTTCGACTGCGGTATGACTGTCCGACAATGTTTGCAATTAACTCGAAGCTAGAAGAATCCATCGACAAAGAGACCGGCAGCCAAAGAGTTACTCGACGAAACAATCTATAAACATTATAAGGTAGTCAAATGGCATGGAGTCAGGGCTAGGGGTGAAATACGTCACGAAATCTGGTCTGTAGCACTATAACATTAAACACTACAATATTATAATTAGCAGTAAATCTATAACTGCACATTCTACATGTTAAATCTAGCATTAAAAATTAGTTTCATCCAAGAGGGCCCCTATATCATCAAATCAAGTAATATGTTAGGCTAATTAAGGTAGAAGCATGACTTGATATTTAACAAATCAACGAAATGCTGTTAAAATGCTGGTATTCTTAAAGTCG